AGCGGACACGCGAGCCTCGTTGAGGCAATAATCGATTGGAACTGTAAATGTTCTCAATTTAAAATGGGGGAGGGTGTAATGCGGTTACACGTACTCTGGTAAAAAGGGTGTTTGTGTCACACGAGATAGGCATGGTGGGACTGCACCCAAAAAAGAATACGGTACGCGGCTGGCTAGCCAGTAGTAATGCATGTATTTAGATTTTACTATATATTTAGGAGAATCTATACATATAGAATTGGGCGGCTTTGTCGCAGATGAGAATAAATAAAGCCAGTTCTGAATTTTAACGGAACACTGAATCAGCCTTGGGTTAAGGCACTCTTGGAGTAAGCGGATTGCGATCCGCTAAAGTCGTACTTGTTTTAAGTATAGAACGAAAGGTTGGTGACCTAACGTACGCTTCCTCAAAGCGCAAAGCTACGGCAGCCCCGCTGCAGTTCTGATGCATTTACAGACGGCAAAGAATCACTTCCTAGCAATATGAAAACACACAATTAGATTATAGCCACACATGGGATCTGTATTCAGCCTTAGAGTATATACTTGACACCCCTCCCATGTGGAAATAGGCTTAAAATCCAGCAAGACACTCAGCCTCGACTTGTAACGGGTAGTCACAATACTGGAAAGGATGAAGAGAAATTTTAAAATCCTGCAGCCGCAGTCGCTTTTGGATTCAGTATCGCGAAGATGCTGAAGACGGTTAATAACGAATGAAATTTTGTGCTGAAGTCTGTAGAGACCATCGAAGTACACTGGTAGAATGTACCGGGTCATTTTAAAAACTTGTATCCACATTGAAACACTTAATTTACTTGGATCGTCTAACCAAAAAAGCAGACGAGCTAGCGGCTCAAAGTGTTAAGGTGTTTTCAAAAGAGAGCGACACTAAGCTCTCATGATTTCATAGTTAATCAAGCTCGATGTGTATCTTATAAATTTTATTGTCGGTCTAGGTGTAATCGGGTGAGGGTAAAATGGGCTTAGTAGTCAGCCAGTCTTGTCCAAGAAGTTGGTGCACGTATGCTCACCTACGAATTGCCCTGTTCAAAACGTAAGACAGATTTACAGCTGTATTTGGCGACGGGTGCTTGAAAAGAGCTGAGCTAGCCTAAATATACTCACAAAAAGGTGAGGTTAGCCAGCCAAATTTGATGTGAAGTCGTATCTGCTTTCTGCGGATATGGGTGTGACAGGGAAAGCCCACGCAGTGCTGATGCCACCCAAGTTGTACCCAACAATGAGACCGGTTTGAGATCTCGTAGTCAAGGCTAGTAGGCAAATGCGTAGAGAATGTCAAAATTTTGTACCGTTAGGTGAGTTGCTTGGTCAAAATGTTAAATAATTAGTTCTGCCCACGCATGGATATCAAATGCCATCCTGTCAGCTGAAATTACTCTTGCAGCATATATAGTAGACTTCGAACGATATCAAATATGGGCGTTAAGCCCAGTTTTCCCAGTCTTAGACACTAGTCGTGTACTACAGTACGCATAGGTTATTTTGATGCAAAAAATATATCAATTTGCCGCGTAAACTTCTTGCGCGTTGAAGCTGACTTGAGCATCGTGCTTCCATTTTTACAAGAACGTGTTGACGGCAGCACCAGACAGATGAGATTCGTAAAGATCAATACTAATTAAGTGCAGCCAGCATAATCCACAGCGACAACACCCAATGACGATGGATTTTACCTGACCGGCTGACTTTCTTCACTTCTTGGTCAAACTGGACGCACCACACGATCTTGTCCTTGTTCAAACTCACATCCGAGGCCTTGAAAAATTGGCTACCAAATACCGAATGAACGAATTGGTCCGGCGTAAATAATGAAGAAAGACCGTACAACCACCAGCAAAGCTGATTTATGAGTGGGTAGTCGTCTTACTGCCGAGTCCAAGATTGCGAAGATAAATTCGCAATTAATTAGGTAAAGGCTCAATAAAGAGTCCCAATAGCGCTGGCAAAAATACGTCATTTTGGAGGACACTTGAGCCGAGTCCAAATGCGACCGTTCAACATCAAATATACCAGGGTGCCTAGGAGTGATATTCAAATCCAGAAAGTGTCCCCAAACCCAAAGTTTATCAGAACTTTGTTTAGCGTGTCACAATCTACACTGCCATAGGCTTTGAAAAGTTTACCAAGACCGCACCCTCTCGCTTGTCATATCCCGCAAATAAAAAAGTCAATTCTGAAAACTCCAAATGGGCATGGCAAATTATCGCAGCCTCGTGGTTAAATACAGAAATTTCCCTAATTTGGAGCCAAGCCTATCAGCCAAATTTTGTGTCTTTTCTTGGCGTCTCCATTAAGAAACGAAATGAACGCTGGGGGTTTAGGAATGCTCTTCTTGTCCAAAAGCCAAGTTTGATGAGTCACTATTTAATGTTGAAACTGTGCGGCGTCGATTACCTCGAGCACTCTATACCAGAGTGTGTGAGTCGGTGTAGCAGTGCTTAACCAGTAAGCTATATAGATCTGGTGCTAAATTCACATATCAATAGATCGTATTACATTCTCATGGAGTGATTCTCATTTTTGATGCTGCCTGTACTATGAACTAGACATGCGTGGACACTTCTGGTGTGAAAGCCGCTTTTAGATCGGGCGAATTTAGTAGTCTAGTATCGAGCCCTGTGTCGTGTATCATTTCTTGTAGTTGACGCAAAGCCAGACCCAATTTTGTTAGTAGCTCTCGTTTGTAAATTAAAGGCGGCGCTTAAGTAGCGCTGTTAGTCTGGCTTGCGTTTCGACGGCATTTGGAGCTTGGCTGTCGAAGTGGATTTCGATATGCACCGAGTTACAATTGCTCGTACGAAGTTGAGGACAGTACAAAAGCTTATCTAGGAAGCTTGCGTTTTGTAAAGTAAAAATAATTTCACGATAGTTCGCTGATATTAAGATTGAGTGAAGACTGCAGTAGCAATTGCCATATTTGTAGCAATTAGAGACGTGGAGGAATTTCAATGTGGTCTTAGTCAAAATGACATGTTGTCGTCATGAATGTGCCTGAAATGAAGCCCAGGTCTAAAGCGTTGTTTTGAAGCTGAAAGTGAAAATTGGCGTAGTCCAATTTATTTGCATGTTGAGCTACGAATTTGATTCTCCGCTATGATAAGTCCCAAGTCCCAGTAGTAGCAATGAGGGGGGTTGAGAATTGGAGGGCTCGAGTGTGCTACGAATCTTGGTCTTTTCGAGTGACCAATGACCCAGTAAAAGAAAGCGCTCGCAGATGCCTGACTTGAACGAGAACCTTGAGGAGTGTCACAAGGTCAAGGAACGGTTTCACAGTCTACGTAGACAGAACTATAGTAGCGTGATTTGTATGCTCGTTGGTTCGTGATCTGACTTTTGTAGAAGAGGTATGGATATCATTTCAGAGTTGCTTTTATTGGACGGCGACGTTGATCTTCATTTTTATGCAACACAAGCAGCCCTTGGTTCCACGAGCTGCATAGTGCGGATCAGAAATTCTTACGCCGAGCGCTGGGACTATCGGGACTGGTAGTAGCTGGAGCATACAAAATTCGAGGGATTGGTTCCAAAAAGTCATTGATCGTCCAATTACCTCGATGATTGGCGATGTCCGGCTAAATAGCGACTAAAACCGTCTTCGCACACTCTGTATCAACCAAACAAGTTCATGTATCTGAAATACGTTCGCTCAGCCTTCTATCCGTGTGATAACCAGTCCTACTTGCGATCTTTGAGTGTCACCAGTCTAAAGCCAGGATAGTCGGTAATCGAGAGCTGGAATCACATGAGGGAGTGAGGATGATCGCAATAACGCTCTTTTTGGATCTTAAAGGCGGCTTTAGCACACACATGTCGCGTATCGCAAAATGATTGTTATAACTTGCTGGCGCAGCGAAACGCGGCCATTCCGGTTCCTAGCGCGATGCTTCCAGATTGAACAGCCCAGGCGGATGGTGATGGAACCGGTTTGTGTTCGCAAGATATATTCCATATCGAATGCCTAGAAATGTGGATTCTTCTGTGTTGTTTGTGGTGTTGACATTGAGTTTCTGTAGCTTGTGTATAGTTCTTGGTCGTATCCGCCGAACGGCATAATGACGGCTTTGTGTGTGTTGAAAAGTGTCTCAGCCTCCAAACAGACAACTCGCACACACCGTAAAAAGATCCGGGGATCTTAAGGTACAGCCATTCACAAATCCTCACAACTGTGTGAGATTCCGTCTGTGCCTGTAACTGAAGACCTGGGACTTGAAATGAACCCAGAGATAGTTTCAATTCAGAGCACAAAGAGCGTGGGCAAAAGCGGATGACCCTGCACCGAGTGCTAAGTGTGGTGATAGAGTGCTGTTAAAGAAGGGCCTTTACTTTTATCCATGCTTTAAAGTTTGGACCGAACCCAAAGTACCTTAGTATTAACTCGAACGCAATCCACACAACAGTGTCAAAAGCTTTGGCAAAGACGAGCAGTATTGACCCTGCCTTCGTTGGACTGTCTTTGAGAGATGTTGTAGTGTTTGAGATCAAAGATTTGCATTGCGATTGTTGCGTATTGAAAGTGCAGTAACGTTGGCAAGATGGTCTGCAACCTCTTGAACAATATCTTCGGTCTGATCTTTGCAACGATGTTCAATAACAAGATATTCGATAGTAGCTTGGAATATGACAGTGTTAATGTGAGATTCATCTTCTATGTCGAAACTTAGTCATGCTTCCGAGCTGGAATTGTGAGAAGCACAAAATTTTAAGGAATCTGCCTTAGAGCTGAGTATTAGTCTTGCAGTTAGCGAGCGAAAGGCTGTCAAGTTTAGGGGCCTTATCTGAAGTCGTGTGCTGTAGTGAAGAGTTTAAGTTGTTTGCGGTAACGCACTGTCTAGCTTTATCTATATTTTTCGGTCAGTTTGGACTTTGTATGCTGAAGTAGTATGGACAGCTTCGCATGGTTCCACTTTGATTTTGGACGTAATTATTCCTGGGACGGCAAACAAACGATACCGCTCTAGTATTGGTCGAACTCATTGCCCGCCAAGTACAGATCGTCTGCCGGTTAGACTGACTTAGTTGTCTTGTATGACCGGAAGATATAGATAGTCACCTTTCGCGACGAAGCCAGAAAACGGGATGGTCAGCTCCAGAGCGGGGCTCAGCATGGCCAACAACCACTCGTAAGCCCCCCAAACAATTGGGTCGAAACATTGTCGATCTCGACCTTCAGCGGTTCGAGCGGCAAAATCTCTCCTCTTGCCAGTTCAAAGTCGAAGAATTCGCCAATGTTGCTCTCGACCAATGATTTCGCCACCGACACGAACAACAAGTGGAAGCGAGGTCTTAGCGGAATAGATTATACTGCTCTTCTGGTGAAGCAGAAACCGATGCCAGTGAATGACACCGCGGCCAATAATTACTTCCAAGCGCTCCACTCGATGTTGGCCTTGTTTGAATCCGAGGAATGTGACAGCCGACAAGAAGTACGGCGTGCGTCACCAGATCATCCATGTGAATGTGAAACGTCCAGACGCTGTGAAGACTTCGGCCGAGTCCGCCTTCTTTGCGGAGAAGCATCACACAAAGATAAAAAAGACATTGAAGGCATCATCAACCATAAAAGCGACCAAGTCGATGCTCGACAACACGGCGCTTCTCAATACCCTCACCATCCGCGGACAAGGACAATAAAGTCGACAGAGTGTGCAAGTTGCACGAAAAGTCGCGAATGCCGACCACATCATGAAGAAGGCGATCGAGTGTCCGCTCGCCTGCAACAACGCGCTCTCCTTGAAGATGACGGGCGACGGGGCTATAATTGATGAGCTCGCACAATTGCACACGATCAATCTTCTGTTATCAGCGACACAGCCGGGTCAAGACTTCACCTTCGCCACCAAATGGAAAAAAGTGATAGGAATAACAGTTCTATCCAAGCGCATCGGTATCTTCATTATATGCTTCAAGTGGTGGATTTCTATGTCCAGTCGATGCGAGAGCTGACCCGAGCGACCAAGAATTTGGGAATATTAGAGCTGGCATACATGTCCATTGCGCCAACGATGGATTCAATATCTCACGGGTCATCCGATCGAGTGGATCTCCGCGCACAACACGCGTTTGCTGCACCCCAATATGCTCCATCGTCCCCTACGGCCAGACCTAGGCATGCACTGCATGCAGCAATAAATAGTGGCAGTGTCACTTGCTCAAAGACCTCGAAGCGCTACGCAAGCTCGATGGGTATGACCCTGATGACTCGCCGGTTCTTCAACTCCAAGACGTAGATGACGGGGTGGTGATGGTCCCGGACGGCGTGGCAACTCGTTGCTAAACCATCCGCGTTGTTCAGCATGACATGGAGCACCGTTAGTGTCCTCACCGTAAACAAAAACGGCGTCAAGAAGAATGGTCGCCTATTTATTGAGAGCTTGCCTCCATGTACTCGTAGTCGTGCATCCAAGAGACTAAGTTCGCAGGCAGCACGCACTTCTCAAACGTTTACGTTCTACCGTGAATCGATCTTTTAGAAACACAAATTTTTCGTGATCGGTCAAAATTCGCTTTTGGATCGACCCACGAGAGGTCGGAGCGGTGGAGTGCTCACGAAGTTCTCTCAGTAATCGACAAGGCGATTGAACTCCCATGGCTATCGGTCGCAGATCGCTACATTGTTGTGAGGGTGATGATCGAGAGTGCTCCCATCTATACCCACAACGTATATGCGACTTTAGATCGATAAAAAGAGGAACACTTCTTCAAGAATCTCGAGACTGAGGGTTCGAGGATGAATCGACGCACTTTGTGTTAGGCAACCTCAACACCCCCCTCAATCATCGACTCGATGCTCCGCATCTTGACGTGAGGTGTAGACCGAGTTAATCCAGCTGTCTCGAGTGGCTAGCAATGCTGAGCCTCGTCGATGTATGGCGGATCCACTTAGACACGAAGCGCGTGTTTACCGGTCCGCTTCCTCGAAAAAACCGGATGGACTACATCCTGCTGTCAGATATGTTC